TCCTATTAGCCAACACAGCATGGATTTATGTTCATACACTCTTACTATATAAACAGTACAACCCTGTAGGCACTCAGAATACCTTGTATAAAACATTCCTTTGAACAAAGCATAACTTGCAGTAAATCCTATTTATAATGGTTTCAGTCACAGTCTCATGCCAGAGAAATGCTTTTAGAAATAAGACTTTGCTCATGACTATTTTAGTTAAGTTCTAACAGGTACATTAGAACCAAAGGCATATTATTCAATCTGTGAAACAAACTGAGCTAATGTCCTTTGGAAATCCATGGAAGGGAGCCCAGAAAGGATAAAACATAATAACAAAAAAAAAGAGAAATGATTGCCAAAGGTAGAAAACATTATTACCAAAGCCCAGATATATAATAAACTCACACAAATTCAGTGTAAAGATTGTACTGGGCCCAGCAGTGTATTTTATTTCTTTAGAACCTCCGTGGCAAAGCATTTCACATTTTCTCAAAACCTCAACTCTTATTTTTCCCCTTGTAGATAAAATGGTGAGTAAATTAAATTCAGGACTATAGTTTATGAATTAGATACGTGGCTTTTATGGTTCAGAAAACAGAAGTCATAGACTGCCAAAATCATTTTCAATTGAGAAATACAGATATAAATAAAATCGTACTCTATTCAGTGTCTGCATCTAGCTGACTGAAGCGAACTATATTACAGTAATCATCTCGAATACTATTTCAGATGCTGTTGACTGTCACCTTCAGGCAGTGTTCTTAAACTAAGGTGTGAACTGGTACAAACATAGAAACTTATTCACAATGCAGAAACCCTGAGGCCTAAGACAAAAACTGGAGCTTTAGAGACCAGAAGGTGAGTGAGAATCCATCAGACCAAAGATAGAGTGAATGCACAGAATATAAAGAAGGTGCCTACTTACAGACCTTTAATGTGTTGTCAATACAGTTACTGCACTTCAATTCCCTGCACTCACATTTGAGAACTAATTACAAAGAGCTCTCTAGTTAAGGGCTTAATACTTTCCTCAAATCTTCATAGACGGGCCTATCTTGCTGCTTTTAATACAGAATTCAAGAATCTAAAAAGGAGTTTTGATAGACTTTGGCACAAACTTTTGGAGCTGGAAGAAGTCTAGCTCCACCAGAGTCTAATCCAATACTCAATTTGGGAAAATGAAAGAGAAAAGGGCCACTTGTGCTCATTTAGTTAGACTTTCTAGTTGGAGAGACAAAGAGAATCCAGGTGTTTTCATGATGTGGGGCTCTTTCAAAGCATTTGAGGTTTCAATTACAGTAGTCCAGAAAAATATAGGGAACTAATTTCAAACATTTTGGGGTGGAGGGAAAGCACCAGAAATGCAGGGAAGAGATAAACTGCTTTTTAATTGCAAATGAAAATTTCATAGTCTAAATAAAAGGAAGTATTCAAAGTTACTATAAAGGGAAAAGAAAAAAGGAAATAGTATTTTTTCTAACTCCACTTACAAAAAGGACATTGCATTATTTACTAATGAAGTGCACTGAGGACCAGTGTGAAAATCTTTCCAGAGTCCCACAATGAAGTATGTGGCCAAGAAAGTATTTCTCCCAAGGACTGAAACTACAGAACCGGTGTTCTTTGCATCGTGCATATGTGCAAACTGAAAAACATCACTAATTTAAAAACTTGTGATTTTATGAAATGGTGGACCCTAATAATTTGGGTTAGACATAAAGCCATCAGAGTTTATATGCTTTGTAACAGTAATTACTGGAAGCCCTGAATCCCTGGTTTATAAACACTAGATCAAATGTACTTTGGTCACAAAGCTATAATTGTTTATCTTTAATAAAATATGAAGTTACTCAATTTATTTTTGAAAACTATGCATGCTATTCATCAATTTTCCATTCTTTTTAAAAATAGTATTTTGTATTTCCCAATCTTCAAACAATAGCTATTTAGTGGCTACACCAACCACAAGACTTCTCAACTTCCCACTTTGAACTCATATCCAGTATTTGTCACTTTCATCTATTAAAATTATTTTCCACCAACACAGTATTTCTTTTACCAGTCAAGAGTACAATGATCTGCTCGTTGCTGGCAGAATTATGTTCAAGTTGAATTAGCAGAGTTTATCATCCAAATCTTTTTTCTTATAACTTACAGTAAAGTTATTATAGAATAGTATTTGAATTTTCATTAATAGGGTTACTGTATTTTTAAAACATTCCTGTTATTTACTGATAGTGCTATAAATCTAAACATCTTTTTTTTGTTTGTTTGTTTTTGTTTTGTTTTTCTCCGGTATAGGGAACTGAACTCACGACCTTGCGCTTGCCAGGCAGGCACTTTTGCCGCTGAGCTAAATCCCCAGCCCCTTAAACCTCTATCTTTATGATATGAAAACATTATAGTATTTTGGGTATTATTTACCTTCTGCCGAGATTTGCTGGTTTTTCTTTTTTTTTTTTTTTTTGAGACAGGATCTCACTATGTTACCCTGGCTGTCCTTAAACTTGTAATCTTCCTGTCTCAGCCATAACTTAATGTTTTGAAGATTTGGAGTACATATTTGAAGGTATCCTTTCCTGAACTTTGAGTGAATTTCAATAGGTTGATTAACTTAAGAAAATCAATTTTCTGTATAGTCAACGATATATGTAATTATCCGTACAGTACTTACATAGAACAGTGTCAACAGAAAAGTTTATATTCATGTTTAAAAATCTTAGTATGTTTTCAGTATGAGCTTGGTTTGCAGTTGCACAACAAATAAAATAACACAGTCCTAAAAAAAAAAAATAATGCAGTTCTAGTGAAAAGATCTAATTGAAGAGCAGCTACAAATCCCTCACCTTTCCCACATTTCCACTTTGTTCGTCTTACTGGTCAGAACACTTTCAGTGGCTAGGGTGAACACGGTCATTTCTCTCCTTCCTTTGCTGATTATCTGAAGGAAAAGACAGCCTTTGGAACACAATGTCTTTCCCCAGGCCTGACCTACAAAATGAGAGAAATCCCTTCCTACATTTGGCCGCTTTAGCGGGAAAAATGGGTTTCCTTCTCTTCCAACCCATGACTTGAAGGAACAAGACAGTAAATGTGGTGCGACAGTAAACAGAAAATTACATCAACAAGCAATAAAAGAATACTTCCTTCTTGACAGCCCGTACCTAATGGGATGAGGATGATTTTACACAAAAGCTAGTAATAGAAATTGCGCAGGACAGAACTTTTAGAGGCCAGTGTTATCAGTATCTTTTTCCAAAACGATTTATATACTTTGACTTGGGCATTTGTTTTTAATTGGCTCAGTAAGGCTCAGTTTTAAGCCAAAGCGACCTGACCCAAACAGAATTGTATGGACAACGGCCGCAGGAACAAAGTTTAGGAGTGCAATTCTGTGAGCTGTCCCGTTTCACCCAGGTCAAGCAAGTCCCAAAGGCTGCACTGATTGGTTCCCCCAGTCCACCGGCAAGGTGAAGGTCAGCTCCTACCTGCCAGGCTTTGTAAGCCCACCTTGGTCCCTCACCTGGGCCTCCCCCCGCAGGCTGCTCTCCAAAGCAGCCCACCCAGCTTTAAACTTGCTAAGAATCTGCAATCAGGTAACCGGCCGCTGACAGCAAAACCCTGATCAATCAACGCTCGAATTTTACTTGTAAGGAAGTTTCCAGGCAGCTTAAGTGTTCCGGGAACAATTCGTCTTGCTTTTGCTAATCAAAAGGTTACAAGGGCACAGGTGAGATCCAAAGTTGGCATAGTGCAGAGAGGTGCCACTGTCCGCGTCACTGCAGGCGCAGCGACCACGTGAGAAGCTGGTGACAACCCCCACCCCGCACCCCCGGCACCTCCCCTAGCGGGACCCCTAAGCGGGCGACCTCGTGCCGGGGCGGAGCGCAGGTCCCGCTCCGGGTCAGGCAGGTGACACCGTCCGCAACACCACTCCCGACACTCGGGCCAGAGTGGCCGCCCCGCGTGCAACCCCGAGAGCCCCGGCCCGTCGGGCTGAGCCCCCGCGCCCCACCTGTTGTGCGCCCCCCCAACCCCCCAGTTTCTTCTGGCCCAAGTGCTTCGGAAACTCCCCAAGCCAGGCAATGTGACGGTGACCAGCGACCATAAATATGCAGGAGAGATGGAGCCAAAACGGCAGACACGCGGGGCCGGCGCTCGCGGGGGACGGGCAGCTGGAGCCGGGCGCGAGTCGCCGCGGCCGCGCTGCCAAG